AGCTCAGATGAGACAAATCTGCTGGAATAAATATTAATAGAGACACTTGAGGTCAGAAGGTTTTGCACTTCCTGTCATGTGGTGATCTGGATCATGAATCTTATCCTCCTCAGATTTAACGGAGGATGATGAATGATGGAGAACTTTGTCTTTAGATTAGTCAGCCAGTCTAAATTTTCTTTCTCATTTAAATACATCACCAGTCTTATCACTACTTGAGACTGCTCCGCCTGTGGCTGCACCTGCACTGCACCACTTCCATTAATATCTATCAGATGCAAAATCAACTCCAGATCCATCATTCCCTGGTTTCCTCCAGATTTAGGTTCTCTGTTTGGGCGTCTGCACACATTCTTCTTCTGCAAATATTTGAATTACAGAGTATGTATGTATGTATGTATGTATGTATACACAGAGTGTATATGTAGTGTGATTATATTTGTAGCTTTAAGAAGGCAGGCTACAGCTTCTGCTGACTGATTTCAGTGAGCTTGTTTAGTTTAGGAGACCAAGCTCGGCCGTCAGTGATTTTATCAGACGTTCCAAGTATTGGTTTTACTTTTTTCCAGTGTAAGTGGCGATGTCCCTGATTATCTTTATCACTTTCTTGTCAGGCTAAAATTCTTTTACTGTCATTAGTGGCAAGCATCAATGTAAGAACAACTGTAAACCCAAGTAGCAGTTGGGGTTGCTGAGCCCTGATGAGACAAATCTTTTTGCCAGATTTTTACCTGCTGATGTTGTAAAGTCTTAATTTTTGTTGTTTGATGTGGTTCAGGAACACAGAACCTTTTTGGGCCTGATTATTCTGATGGTCACTGAACACAGCAGCTTAACGTTAGTTGTGTAATCACGGCATTGCTGCACTGAAAGACGACAGGAAGTCAGTCATGACACACCATCTCATGTTAAATAACCCATAAAACAGCTAAGGTAGTGTGTGTGCGTGTGCATTTCTGCTTGTACCGGGGTGCTGCTGTAATCCCTCGGGGTGTAATCTCATTAGGGTTAAAAGGAGCCGAGGAGCACGTCCTGTGGGCGCTCTGTGGTTGGTCACCATGGTGTGAAGATGAAACACAGGTTGGCAGTCTGTTAATGATGGGGGAACACGACTGTGTCGATTTTTGTTGTTGTTTATAAAATTTAAAATAAAAACAATAAAATGAGAGAAATCTCTGTATAACTAAGATCACTGGTTTTTGGCCCGGCCCTGCTTGCTCTCCAGATGTGACGGGTTTTCTGCTCCTCTCTGTGCAGACTATGAATCAGCGGGTCGGTTTGTTTGTTCTCCTGGCGGCGGGCCTCCTCTGCCTCAGTTTGGGCCCCGTCTCTCGGGCTGACGATCTGGTCGAAGACGGTCTGGATGGCGACGATGCCGACGTGGAGGACGAAATGGACCTGAGCTTGGCTGAGGACGAGGATCTGGAGGACGACGTGCAAGATGAAGCTCCACCTGCTCCTAAAACCCCTCCCAGTCCACAGGTAAGACAGCTTTATTTTTTTTAATTTTATTATTAGTTTAAAAAAAAAAGTTTTTCTGGAATTCTTGTTAATGATAAATTTGCAGATGGTGGAAAATCAATTTTTTATTTTTTTTAGTTTCATAAAGTCGTTAGTTTATTTTCAGTAGAAGCTGTAGTTACATGGGTCTGCACACTAGGGGGCACCAAACTAAATCAGCCAGAAACCATCTCCAGGTCCAGATTTTCCATCAGTTCCTAAAGTCAAATATGATGCATCAGTGACGTCTTCGTTTTTATTTACCGACGTGTTAAAAAGGTTTTTAAAAAGTTACTTGTTTCTTGTTTTTTCTGAAAGCTTTTCAAATTGTTTGTCTAAGTTTTTGGTTGTATGAATAAAGTTAACTCTATTGAAGTTTTTACCTGTGAGGATTATAACTGTTGTGCTCTCAGCATTTATTTTGGCTCATTCTGAGGTTTTGAATGTTTAACCCAGAAGTGTCTGTTACCCATTAACCAATCAGGTCAGGAAGTGGGTCTGATGAGAGAGTAGTGATCTGCCCTGCTGATCTACTGACCTGCATTCTCTCTACAGACACAGACCGGACTAAGAGTCGGACCTCAGAATAATTCAGTCTAATGATTTAACGGGTGAATTTTCCTGGAGTCGGCAGGTTTTAGACAGAAACCTGCTCGTGAATCATTTCCACAGTTTTGATCATGTTTGCTTCACTTCCAGTCTGACTGGTTATTCAGAGTGGAGCTGAGGTAAAGTGAAAACACCTGAAAGGCTTTGAGCTCAATCTGAGATAGGAAGACGAGGACGAACCAAACAAATGTGTTGGTTAACCTGCACATGAGGATGTTATAACTTACTTTCATTTCTTCACTCAGGTGACCTACAAAGCTCCTGAGCCGAAGGGGGAACACTTCATTGCAGAGTCTTTTGATAAGGGGACACTGGATGGGTGAGCACCACACACGCATGAATCATAACCTTCCCTTACATGTTTTCTTTTTCTTACTTTAAAGCTTATTACACGTGCTAGCATCACACTAATGCATGCCAACTGGTCAGTTAAGGATTTAAGGACACCCCCTCACTGGCGCAGAGCCAGCTTGCTGTAACCTAGTGATGGTTTGTTTGTAACATTAGCTGATTTAAACCTATCAGATCAGCCCAGAGTTTAGAACAGTTAGCTGAAGTTATTCTCCCAGCAGTTATCAAGACAATCGATTAGTGAAACAGTCATATGGTTTAATTTGATCATCAGTTTCATCAAAGAAAAGCTTCGGTGTTTGATCTGTGAAAAATGCTGCCGAGGAGTCAGTGCACACGTGTACATCTACCTGTAAACCTCAGAGCTCCGGCGGAGTCGTAACCCTCTGTGTGCTGTTTCAGGTGGATTCTGTCCAACGCCAAGAAGGATGACGCAGACGAAGAGATCGCAAAGTACGACGGTGAGTGCACATCTGTAACCTCATTGTGTACATGATGACGTGCATGAGCAGTTTTTTACATTAGATATTACATCAGCTGAGCCTGGGATGTCCTAAAAAGGCCACTGTACCGAAGATTACCGCCTTGTTTTAGTGTTTGTCTCTGATGATGACGATGTTAACAGGTAAATGGGCTGTGGAGGAGATGAAGGACAGCAAGCTGCCTGGCGACAAAGGTCTGGTCCTGAAGTCTCGAGCCAAACATCATGCCATCTCAGCCCACCTGCTGCGACCTTTCACCTTTGAAACCATGCCCCTTGTCATCCAGTAAGGACAGCTTTGATGTCTGATTCACATTTGAAACTATGATTGGTAGATGGGTGTGAACACCCAGGTGTTCTCAGTCTGAAAGGTACTGATCAGCAGTGTGATCTGTCTGTGTTCAGGTATGAGGTGAACTTCCAGTCGGGTATCGACTGCGGTGGCGCCTACGTAAAGCTGCTGACTGAGACGCCCGACCTCGACCTGGTCAGTGCGATTTCCACACACATTAATTCAGTTTATTAATGATGCCGCTTCCAAAAGAAAAGCAGGACAGTGACTTAAAAAGGTTTTAAATGTTGTTCAACTCGTGATCTAACTCACTAACTCATCTTCCTGTCATGAGCCAAAGAGGCAAATCTATGATATTTCTATGAAATGTTCTTATTGATCACTCTAATAAGTGACTGATTAAAAACACCTGCAGGCTACGAGGCAGGTAAGCACTGTAACATGTCCGTGTGTGTCTGCAGGACCAGTTTGTGGATAAAACTCCGTACACTATCATGTTTGGACCCGACAAATGTGGAGAAGACTACAAGCTGCACTTCATCTTCAGGCACAAAAACCCCAAAACCGGAGAGTACGAAGAGAAACACGCTAAGAAACCCGACGCCGACCTGAGGACATACTTCACCGACAAGAAGACTCACCTGTACACGCTGGGTGAGACGCACAGGCTGCAAACGTGTTTATTTCTGCTGTAAATGTTAACAAGGGATTCTGTGGACCCTGGCCTCGGCTGGACGTTAGAGGAACTGCAGACTTTGATTATTATTTTTTCTTTGAGTGCCTAACTTGTCTCTGTTGCCCCCAACAGTGGTGAACTCTGACAACAGCTTTGAGGTGTTGGTGGATCAGACGGTCGTGAACAGCGGCAACCTGCTGACGGACATGACCCCCGCTGTGAACCCCACCGCTGAGATCGAGGACCCTGATGACCACAAACCTGAGGACTGGGATGAGAGGGCCAAGATCCAGGACCCGGACTCCGTCAAACCCGAGGACTGGTCAGTACAAGGGTTTCATTTTTAGTTTGCTCAAACTTTCATCCAGGCGTTTGACCTAAAGAAAACAAACTGAGCCATGGCTGCACGACTGGAACTGAAGTAAACCTGTTTGCAGTAAAAGCGTCACGGGGTCAGTCTCGATTTATAAGTGGACAGTCCGATCTAGTTCAGAACGAGGAATACCGGCTAAAGATGGCAGAGAGACACAGCTGATTATGTTGCTCAGTTATTTCTGAGATCGTTTACTTTTCCTGAATTGAAGATCTTAAAATTTTAAGTAAGTTTTAAAAAGGGGAAAAAAATTTTATTTACAATTTATTTAAAAGGGGGAAAATAAAGTAAATAAGTAAATAAAGTAAGTGTGAAAAGTGTTAAAATCTGGAGATTGTGCTGCTTCTTACCGTACACTTCAGTAACAGATTCAGAATGTATTAAAAACACAATCCATGTCTATTTAAAAATCAAAGGCTTACTTCATGTTTCCCTTTAAGTACAGTGACCTCACAGCAGCTATATTATTGGTCAGATGATGTCATTAAAAATGCTCCAAAGGCACAAAAACCGTGCAGAGGTTCAGTTCAGACTCCAATTAGCTGAGGGGAACCCTAGGAGGCAGCTCCTGTGTCACAGTCCACCTGTCATTGGGACTGACTCACTGCTGGAGCCTCTGCTGGATGTTAGAGGAACTGCAGGTTTGGTGCTTCCATGTTTGCCACTCTGTGACAGCAGACTTGGGTTGTTGTGTGTTTGCAGGGATGAAGACGCTCCGGCTCAGATTCCAGATGAATCTGCAGTGAAACCCGACGGCTGGCTGGACGATGAGCCCGAGTATATCGGAGACCCTGACGCCATCAAACCTGAAGACTGGTGAGTTACACCTGCCTGTCGGCCCGGAGCAGGTGGAAGGAAAGAAATGTCTAAAGCAAACAGAGTACAGATTTTCTTTTCACTGTGAACAGCTTTCCTGACAAAGCCCGTGGATTAATCCACTGTGAACAGCTTTCCTGACAAAGCCCGTGGATTAATCCACTGCTGAAAATAGTCCCAGTAAAACCTGTATTCCAGTATAAAGAAGATAACAGAGTACTCTTCGTGCCTGTCAGGGATGAGGACATGGATGGAGAGTGGGAGGCCCCTCAGATCCCTAACCCCGCCTGTGAGACCGCCCCCGGCTGCGGCACCTGGAAACGGCCAATGATTGACAACCCCAACTACAAGGGCAAATGGAAGCCCCCCATGATTGATAACCCCAACTATCAGGTGAGTCTGACTTCAGTGTGAGGTGATCATTAGATGGAGGGGTGGAGTCTTTTGGAGACTCTCCTCACCTCCGACCCTTCGTGTTTTCAGGGCGTCTGGAAGCCAAGGAAGATCCCCAACCCGGCGTACTTTGAGGACCTTCACCCCTACAAGATGTCACCGTTCAGCGCCCTGGGGCTTGAACTCTGGTCCATGACCCCTGACATCTTCTTTGACAACTTCTTCATCACCAATGACCGCAACGCTGCCGAACGCTGGGCATCTGATAGCTGGGGGCTGAAGAAGGCAGCAGAGGGCGCCGCTGAGGTTGGTCCATGTTATTAGATCAGATTAAATTCAGTCTTCTGGGATAAATCAGATCTGTATTTGTTTTGGGAGTTTTTTTTCCTTTTTTAAAATCAAGTGTGTGCCATGATTAAAGTTTAAAAAGTGAAGTGACACAGTCACCGCCTCATGTTTCAAATGCTCAGGGTGACCTCACACACCTCAGCGCAGCTTCACGGTGGAGCATCAAACACGTTAAAATTTTATTTTTGAGCAACAGAATTGAAAGAAAATTACGTTTCCTTACTAATGTTTCACAAATCAATTGAATATTAAGGACAAAATCCTTTTCCCATAATTTTATTCCGAAAGGTTAACTTGAATATATTTTTCAGTATGAAGTGAAATGTATCAAGTCTGTTTTTGTGTTAATTTGATGATTATGGCTCATGAGGAGATTTGATTCATTTTAGGAAATATTCTGATCATTTGAGAAACCGGATTACTGAGTTTCATGAGCTCTTAGCCAAAGTCATCAAAAATAAAAGGATCCCTCTAAATGTCTCCGAGCTAGTGGATATCCTTTAATAGACATGCGTTTCATACTTATTAGCGTGACTGGGAGAGATTTGGTGTTCAACTCTGATATTGTTACTGATCATTTAAGGAAAAATGTGTGAAGTGGATTTATTGAAGTCTGGGTTAACGGGAGCCCCGTGATGTTTCCTCATGTGTGTGTTTTGGTTTTGTTTTTTGTTTTTTTATCCCCCCCCCCTCCCCTTTGTGGTCGTGCAGCCTGGGCTGGCAGCTCAGATGCTAAGTGCTGCAGAGGAGCGTCCGTGGCTCTGGGTCGTCTACGTGCTCACCGTGGCTCTGCCGCTCATCCTTATCTTTGTCTTCTGCTGCACTGGAAAGGTAAAACACACACACAGACACACACAGGGTCTGCGCCTCTGCAGCATCAAACTGAAGTTTCCTCATTTGAAAGTCGAGTTTCTGTCTTGTTTGAAGTAAAAGTGAAGCTGTTGCCTCTTCAGAGCACGGAGAGTTCGACATTTTCCCCCACTGAGTGTTACTGTGTTACTCATTCATTTACATTCTGCTGGTAGTAACAATGCATGACTTTATGTTTATGCCTCAGTCAGCTGAGAAGCTCCTATTAACTGTCAAACTTTCTGTAGTGAAAATATGAAACTTGATATTTAAAAGTTAAAATTCAGCAGTTCAAAGAGCCACAGTTCGATGCTGCAAACCTAGCCTTGTGGGGCACAAGCGTGCATACTCCTGGTGCCGTTCTCAGGCCCAGATCAATGGAAGTCTGTGCCAAATCAACCACTCAGATCCATCTGCTATGGTGACCCTGTCAGGAATAAGAGGGCAGCTCAGTGTAATGCTGTCGTGGAGGATTTCCTCACAGGTGGACTCTTGTGATTGGTGGAAATGAATCAATATAAACTGTTGTTATAATTCAAGCTGTATTTTTAACTGTTATTGATAATTGTTTTAAGGTTTTAATTGGACATGAGAAAATCTGTCCGTCCTGCAGTCTGATCCTCAGGGCATCCTCTCTTGCCTGTTGTCAAACCCACACGTTGTAAACCCAGAGGTTTCATTTAATGGTTTAAGTTGTATCGCACTGATTAATGTCCACAGAGGTCGTCAGGATCAGCTCAGGGTCACTTGAGTCTCACCAGCTTGCAGAAAGAGTTTAATGACGCTGGATGCCCTAACCGCGCTGCCACCACCTCCTCCGGCCCGGTGACTGATACTGCTGCTAGCATAGCTTCATGTCATGTTGTTGTGTTTGTGCTGCTTGTGTGCGTCTGTGGTGCTGCAGTGCAGTCTTTGTGTGTTTCATTAAACCTTGTCACTCATTGGTTGTAATTCTGACACTGATTATAACTGAGAATTCATGATTGGTTTGTTGGTGTTCTGAATATTGGAAAATCAGGTGAAATCCTTTGCAGCAGACCTGCTGGTGGCACAACTCTGTTCTCCTATTGGCCAACACATTCTGAAAATGCTCGTCTGAAAGGGCGCCCTTTATCAAACGTAGGCGAAAACCGTGAGTGAAAGGCAGTGATGTGTTTGTGAATGATGGATCTGAGAAGGCGGTGCTGCTGTTTAACTTGCACTACATGGACCAAAGTCCCAGGCCACCTTCACGTCACACCTGCAGCAGCTGCTCAGCCGTGGAAACCGAAACTCCCGGCAACACACTGTCTGTGCTGATGTTAATGCCAGAGGAGGTTTGGACTGCCTGGCTAGGTGCTGCAGGACTAGGACTGAGAACGTTTGAGTTCAAAGGTTAAGAGGTGTGACCCAGTACTTTGGCCTATAAATCCTGTTTCCTATGAACATGTCACATATCTGGCCGTCTCAGCTGTTTCCACTGTGGCATGCTGGCTTGTTCATGGAGAAGGCAGTTTGGTAATAACAGTAAATTACTGTTGCGGGTGTGAACTGCAGTGTGACTTGACTGCAAAAGTAAAACCGTCCATTCATAAATGTGACGGTGCCTTTATGTATTTGTATCAGTCTTAGATCCTCAGCTGAGGGAACCTGAAATCATCGTGTTGCTGTTCCTGCGTCATCGTAGCGGTGGTCCAGGATCAGCATGTTACCCAAGAGTTTAGATAATGCTATTTTAAAACTATCACTAGCAAACCTCACTCTTTCTTCTAATTGGCTGCCCCTCACAAACCTCTCAGGTGACTATATCTGGGATATCCTGTCTGTATGACATCAAAAACTGTGATGAACTGAGCTCAGGGGATTATTTTAAATACAGTGAATTCATTATTACAAACTTTGTTTAGTATGAGCATCCACCACAGGAGCGCTTTGAACTGACTCGTTTCCTTCTGCAGAAGAAGAGTTCGGCGTCGCCGGCAGAGTACAAGAAGACCGACGAACCTCAGCCTGATGTGAAGGAGGAGGAGGAGGAAGAGGAAGAGGAAGCCGAGGAGGCTCCGAAGGCTGAGAAGAGCAGCCCAGGTTACTGAGATCTTCAAATTGAATCTGTTTGTTTCTTTTGAGTTTGTAGCTGTTTCTTAATCTGATTCATCTTTGCTTTTCAGACACAGAAAAGAGTGAAGATGAAGAACCTGCAGAGGAAGAGGAGGATGAAGAAAAAGAGAACACAGCTGATGAGGTGAGGCAAAGTTTCATCACAGCAGATTCAATCGTGACTTTTCAGCTCCTTTAACTTTTGAAAAGATGTAAAAATTAATAAATAAATGAAGGTTCATTTTTGTATTTTTAGTCATTTATATTTTACAAGAAAAATAAGTTTTTTGTTTTTCTAAATGTCTTCACACCGGTCTTTAAAGCTTGTTGCAAAGATAAACTTTAATTTCATTTTATTTTCTCAGATTTGTTTTGAAGGAGTTTGAAACATAATGTAGAAAACTTGAAAAAGCCTCAATTCAGTAAAAATGTGGGAATAGCTCAGTCTGCAGAGTGCTGTAAATGTGCTGCAGGTGTAACATCTGCTGCTTTCCAGGAGAGTTGAAACCCCTGACCAGCCTCAGCAGATGGCTGCCCCTCACGGAGTCTGGTGACTTCATGTTCATATTCTGACGTGTCTTCATATTAAAAGGGAGTTTTTTCTTCCTATTGCTACCAAGTGCTTGCTCAGATGGGGTCCACTGATTTTTGGCTTTGCTCTGCATAGTCATAGGGCAAGGATGTCAGACTGGTTTTACATTGTGGACTCCATACAACCCACTTTGACGTAGGGCTGTCCGATATAATGATATATACAGTGGGGCAAAAAAGTATTTAGTCAGCCACCGATTGTGCAAGTTCCCCCAC